ACTTAAAGGGCTATCCCACGCCGCCAGTACTTGTCAGGCCACAGAAGGGGGTGTGAATTAAGGAATCACCCCTGGCCAGTACTTCGCAGATTTTGCAATGGAAAAAAATTTGGGATGAAAAATTGAAAAAACTTTGAGGTTTTCCTAGTATGGTTTCAATACACCAGGTTATTTCTTGATTTTTAAATTTTATTCATAATTTTTTCCCCAAAATTTTAAAATTCCTGAGAATTCTGGTGCAGTGTGAGAGGCCTTGACCTGCTAAATTCCTCCTAGGCTTTGGGAACATGAAAGAGGGTTTCTAAAACTCCAGAATTTTATTAGCCCCTCTTTTAAGCCAAAAGCAACAAGACAAAATAATGATTCCCAAATCTTAAGGCTGAAGAAAACGAGGTAATTACATCAAGGCCCTAGGGCCACAGCTCCCGGCCCCTCCTTGTAGCTGATCGCTGCAGACCCTAGGCCCAAACTCCGGGCCCCCCCCCTCCCCTTAGCTGGTCTGTAGGCCCTTAGGTCTCACAGTCCTGGCCCCCCCCCCTCAGCTGGTCGCGCAAACCCTAGGTCACACAGCTCTTGACCCCTCCTCATAGCTGGTCACTGCAGACCCCTAGGTCACACAGCTCCCGGCCCCTCCTCTCAGCTGGTCGCTGCAGACCCCTAGGTCACACAGCTTTTGACCCCTCCTCTTAGCTAGTCACTGCAGCCCTCTAGGTCTCACAGCCCTGGCCCCTCCTCTTAGCTGGTCACTTCAGACCTCTAGGTCTCACAGCTCCTGGCCCCTCCTCTTAGCTGGTCACTGCAGACCTCTAGGTCTCACAGCTCCTGGCCCCTCCTCTTAGCTGGTCGCTGCAGACCCCTAGGTCACACAGCTCCTGGCCCCCTCCTCTTAGCTGGTCATTGCAGACCACTAGGTCTCACAGCTCCCGACCCCTCATAGCTGGTCGCTGCACACCACTAGGTCTCACAGCTCCTGGCCCCTCATATCTCATCTGTATGATGCTCAGACTTGACACAACCCCAGGAATTATTATTAGAAGAAATATTAGTATTATTATGGGTTTATAAGTGATTCTTCATAAGTGAGGTTGTTAGTTATCAGTTGTCAAAGGCGCTTGTTGATAGATACAGCCAGTTTTATGTGTACTCGCCTATATGTGGTTGCAGGGGTCGAGTCTCAGCTCTTTTGGTGTGTGTATGTATTTGTGTGTGTTTAACTTAACCCTTAAAGTGTCCAAACGTAGATCTATGTATGGAGCACTACGCATGTGAACGTAAATTTGTTTGGACAGTTTAAGGGTTAAATTGTTTGCAAGTTAAACACCTCAAAACAGTAGTTACCATGAGAATAGTAGATAATAAGGACTGAAAATTAGTTAAACCCTCGTAATAATAATAATAATAATTAATAATAATAATAATAATAATCTATATTTCTACAAGTACATGATACAACTTATACAGACCATAGCTAACATCTAGGACATACTATACAGAAAACATTGTTATAAGGAGCATTTCGGGCAAATTAGGTTTTGTCCCCAGTATGCCACTCCACACCAGTCCACTAACCTAGGTACCTATTTACTGCTAGGTGGACATGGACAGCAGGTGTCTTAAGGAAACACGTCCTAATGTTTCCACCTGTACTAGGAATCGAACCCCAGACCTCAGTGTGGAAACCAAGTGCGCTACCAGTCCAGCTGCGGGACACCCATAGAAATAAGATAAAAATAAGATATCAATAGGAATATTTAGATGGAGTTACCCCTTATTTTCCTTCTCTGAAAAAATGTATATTAATAGTGATTATTAGATGGAGATGGGAAGTACAGTGTCTGCACTCTGAAGGAAGAGTGTTAATGTGCAGTTTTATAACTATAGTGTAAAGCATCCCTCTGGCAAGACAGTGATGGAGTGAATGATGATGAACGTTTTTCTTTTTCAGGCAGCCCTGCCTTGGTGGGCACCCTGCCATGGTGGGCACCCTGCCTTGGTGGCCACCCTGCCTTGGTGGCCACCCTGCCTTGGTGGTCACCCTGCCTTGGTGGCCACCCTGCCTTGGTGGCACCCTGCCTTGGTGGCCACCCTGCCTTGGTGGCCACCCTGCCTTGGTGGCCACCCTGCCATGGTGGCCACCCTGCCTTGGTGGCCACCCTGCCATGGTGGCCACCCTGCCATGGTGGACCACCTCCTTGGGGGCCACCCTACATGGTGGCCACCCTGCCTTGGTGGCCACCCTGCCATGGTGGCCACCCTGCCATGGTGACCACCCTGCCTTGGTGGCCACCCTGCCATGGTGGCCACCCTGCCTTGGTGGCCACCCTGCCATGGTGGCCACCCTGCCTTGGTGGCCACCCTGCCATGGTGACCACCCTGCCATGGTGGCCACCCCGCCATGGTGGCCACCCTGCCTTGGTGGCCACCCTGCCTTGGTGGCCACCCTTTGCCATTGGTGGCCACCCTGCCATGGTGGCCACCCTGCCATTGGGTGGGCCACCCTGCCTTGGTGACCACCCTGCCATGGTGACCACCCTGCCATGGTGGCCACCCTGCCATGGTGGCCACCCTGCCTTGGTGGGAATCGGCCAATGTGTTAATAATATAATAAAAATATTAGAGTGAGAAGAGGCAACAGAAAAGACACAATACTGTGACTGGAACAATACACAAATAACCTGCGCATTGAAGAGCGAAGCTTACGACAATGTTTCGGTCCGACCTGAACCATTTACAAAGTTGTACCAAAACGTTGTCATAAGCTCCTCTCTTCTATGTGCAGGTTATTTGTGTATGAGAAGAGATTACACTGAGGCATCTTCTCGCTAAGTTGTGTCTACTCTCTTTCAGTGAATTTCTGAGACTGAGACACGTGAGCAGGAGAAGAGCAAAATATAAGAGTTTTAGTAAGCCAGGATGAGAGAGAACCTCTAGATCAGGGGTCTCCAACCTTTTTCAAGATGGATGCCACATCGTATATTTTACACATTTTTTAAGGGTCCAAGAAAAACAAATCAGTCTAATAAATAAATACAAATGAATGAATGAAATATGAATAAATAAGTGACTGGAGTGACTTACAATGAGGGTTCATTAGTTTTACTGTTTATAAATATTTGAAGTTGCTGTGCATAACATGTGGCCCGCGGGCCGCAGTTTTCTGACCCCTGCTCTACACCAAAGGTTCTTAATCTTTTAATGATAGCAAAACCCCAATGGATTGCTTAGTATGTGGCCAGACCTCCTTCACCAGGCTGTGAAAATCACCAGTCTATTAGGTACCAGTGCGACTTAAAAATAAGTCAATAGCTTGGATTATCACCAGTGCTATTAGGTACCAGTATGACTTCAAAGGATAGTTAGCAAAACAACAGGTAAGATATAATTATGTACAGTGGAACCTCAAATATTGAACTTTCTTCGGTCCAGAAGGCTGTTTGAGTGCCTTTACCAAATGAATTTATTCCCATCAGGAATAATGTAAATTAAATTAGTCCATTTCAAACTCTCAAAAATACACTTACAAAAATACACTTATATATGGTCGTGTTGGGAGCAGTTCGATTTTTGAGGTTCCACTGTATAAGAATTTAATTGTATTTAATTTTAGAAAAATGGCAAATTGTTCAGATCAAGTCCTATAACCCCCATTATTCTGTTCCCATACCCCCATTATTTTGTTCCCATACCCCCATTTGGTTCCCATACTCCCAGGGGGTATGGATACCCCTTGGTTAAGACCCATTGCTCTAGAGGAACACCTGATTCAAAAATTTTATAAATAAAGCAGAGAAATTACATAAAAAATTTTAAAATCAGAGTCTGGGGAGGTGAAAGGAATATCAGAGGATAAAGTCTCCACAGTACAGTGTTTCAAATTGTTGTACCCAATTTTAAAGCAGATACTCCTTTCAAATTGGGCCAATCATTTAGAAACACCCTCTGGTTTGATGTTTGATAATGACATAAAAGTATTCAAGCGAATAGTGGAGAGTAGAAGATTCAGGGGAGGAAGCCAGGAGATATGGATGCTGGTGGAAGATTCAGGGAGAGAGAGCCAGGAGATATGGATGCTGGTGGAAGATTCAGGGAGAGAGAGCCAGGAGATATAGATGCTGGTGGAAGATTCAGGGAGAGAGACAGCCAGGAGATATGGATGCTGGTGGAAGATTCAGGGAGAGAGAGCCAGGAGATTAGATGCTGGTGGAAGATTCAGGGAGAGAGAAGCCAGGAGATATGGATGCTGGTGGAAGATTCAGGGAGAGAGAGCCAGGAGATATAGATGCTGGTGGAAGATTCAGGGAGAGAGAGCCAGGAGATATAGATGCTGGTGGAAGATTCAGGGAGAGAGACAGCCAGGAGATATAGATGCTGGTGGAAGATTCAGGGAGAGAGACAGCCAGGAGATATGGATGCGGTGGAAGATTCAGGAGAAAGCCAGGAATATGGTGCTGGTGGAATGATTCAGGGAGAAAGCCCGGGAGTTATGGATGCTGGTGAAGAAATTCAGGGAGAAAGAGGAGTTATGATGCTGGTGAAGATTCAGGGAGAAAGCCAGGAGATATGGATGCTGGTGGAAGATTCAGGGAGAAAGCCAGGAGTTATGGATGCTGGTGGAAGATTCAGGGAGAAAGCCAGGAGATATGGATGCTGGTGGAAGATTCAGGGAGAAAGCCAGGAGATATGGATGCTGGTGGAACATTCAGGGGAGAGAGAGAGCCAGGAGAAATGGATGCTGGTGGAAGATTCAGGGGAGAGAGAGAGCCAGGAGAAATGGATGCTGGTGGAAGATTCAGGGGGAGAGAGAGAGAGCCAGGAGATATGGATGCAGGTGAGTATTTAGGTAGTTAGAGCATCATCATTTTTTTATTTACTGGGATACTGAGGTAGTGACATAGACTGGGTTACTTAAGAAGTGACTATCTTAAAAATAATTGTAGCAGATGGTAGACCCAAAGACATGCTATTTAACTTCCAGTTTATGAACCGAGAGTTTGACTCACCTGTGTAGTAGTGCCTGAGGCGGTCCGATGTTGGGTTGAATGGGTTGTTGTTCATGAAGCGATACACGAAAACATCAGTCACATGTCTTCTGGGTTGAGTAAGGTGGCCCCACCGAGGACTCATCCACTGCAATAACTTAGGGTGGTAGGCATAACCTCTGAAGATTACCAGACCCGTTTGAGGTTCCCGGAACTTGCCCCATGGACCCACACCAACCCACATGTTAGACCCAGCTTTGTCCACTAGGTGGCCAAAGGGAGACCACACTTGACTGCGGATTAGCGAGCCCACATCATCAAATATAGCTATGGGGGTACCATTTTGGTCTGTTGCTACGAAATAACGACCATCTGGTTGGTCAATAGCAATTAGATGGTTCATATCATCATATAGAAGTCCGGTGGTTGCCCCAGTGTGAGGGTTGTGTAGGTGGGTGATCAGTTCCGGGAGATCAGGTCGTCCGTAGATCAACTGAGTGGCATTGTTGTTGTGATCACGATAAATGGATATGCGACTAAGATGGTCATAGCCCAGTGTGAAGGACCAGTTCTCATCACTATTCCACCCTGAAATAAGCTGACCTTTAGTATTGTAGTCAAAGTTTTGGTTATCTATTCTGATGACGAAGCCTCGGTCATCGTACTCCACCTGACTGCCACTGACACTAGTCACTCTATCACATTCATCATATACAAGGTTTTCTGCATAACCCTTGTCGGTGTTACTAATTATATTTCCATTTTCATCGTAGCTGTATAACCATGTATGTGTCCCTGTAGCTTCCAGTATCTGCCCATCAGCCATGTATGTAATATTGAGTCCTTCGCGTCGACCAGCAACCTCAATTAGACGCTCCGATATCCTATTGCGGATGTCGTATTTCAGACGCATCATGAAGACTGTTTTTCCCTGAAGTGTCATGTCAACCTGAGATAGGCGGCCATAGTCATCTTGTTTACGTGTGTTGACGTAGTGTTTCTTTGGGTTCTGTAGCATGGTTTCCAGGATGTTGTTTCGAATGATTCGCAGGTCACTTATCAACTGAAGCACACCAGTCTGGTTATCAAAGCGAATGTACACCTCGTTGAGCGGAATATCAGAATTGATATCACCCTCAAGTTTGCGAAGTCTCGCTGATCCATCGTACTGGAAGCGTAGCTTGACAGGATGTAAGTCACTCTTAGAGCCGTATCGAAGTCGCATATCCTTCATCAGTCCAGCATGATAACGGTACTCAGTCCTCACGTCGACGTGCTTATGTTTGGTTTTAGCAGTGCGGATGAGGCCATTGGAATAGTAGGTGTATTCAGTGAAGCCATGACCGTAAAGTTCGGCGCTGACTTGACCAAGATCATTGTACTGATAGATGAGAGTGCCCCCACGACCAGGCTGAGTCATAGCCAAGAGACGACCTCGCTCATCCAAACGTATCTGCAAAACAATGTATCATATCAGTATGTGATTATATTAATCATGGATAAAAAGACACATGTGCAACAGTTAGGTATCTTTATTCTGAAATGTTTGGCCTACACAGTAGGCTTCTTCAGTCAAGCACAGAGGAGACAGCAGAAGTAGAGGTGTAAAGAAATGTAATGAGTCTATCACCCTGGAAGACGTAGGTTTGAGGTGGTCAGTCCCTCAGTCTGCATATGTTTCTAAGAAGCATGTGCAACACCTGACTATCATTATTTTTAAGATATTTAGCCAACCAGTGGCTTTTGCAATCCAGTAAAGAGAATATTAACTGGAGAGACTAGAGGATGAAGTAATTCCAAGGCTGAATTGAAACTGGAGACAGTAGAATAAGATAAGACAATCAGTCCCTAAGTCTTGAAGGTGTTCAGTACCTTAGTTAAGACGAAGCTGAAGCATAGATAGGAAGATGAGGTGCAGCAGTTGAAGGTATCATCATAATGTGGGTAGGAACAAGTGGTGTACAATACTAATACTGATATGCACATGAACTCAACTGACAATCATCCATCATTCTGTGGGACTGATGGATGATTGTCTTTTACTGTCTGGGATTATAACTCAGCTCTATAATTGACTGATGAAGCCACCTAAGTAGGTGAAATGTTTCGTCAATGAGGATATCCGGTGCTGCGCATGTTATGACGATGAAGATATAAGACAAAAAATGCTCTTATTCAGACGATGGGCAAAACGTTTTCCCACGAGAACATTCTGAAGTTTCTTTTAGGTGTTTGATTCTTGTGTTGAACCCAAGTTTAGTTTCAGGTTCTCAAAGAAATAAAACTTGAGACTAGAAAACTGAACAGTTCAAGACTGAGGGACTGACTACCTCAAACTTACTACTACAAGACTGAGGGACTGACCACCTCAAACTTACTACTACAAGACCGAGGGACTGACCACCTCAAACTTACTACTACAAGACTGAGGGACTGACCACCTCAAACTTACTACTACAAGACCGAGGGACTGACCACCTCAAACTTACTACTACAAGACTGAGGGACTGACCACCTCAAACTTACTACTACAAGACTGAGGGACCGACCACCTCAAACTTACTACTACAAGACTGAGGGACTGACCACCTCAAACTTACTACTACAAGACTGAGGGACCGACCACCTCAAACTACTACACAGACTGAGGACCGACCACCTCAAACTTACTACACAAGACTGAGGACGCCACCTCAAACTTGACTACTACAAGACTGAGGGACTGACCACCTCAAACTTATACTACAGACCAGGACTGACCACCTCAAACTTACAACAAGACTGAGGACCGACACTCAAACTTATATACAAGACTGAGGACCGACCACCTCGACTTTATACACAAGACTGAGGGACTGACCCTCAAACTTACTACTACAAGACTGGGACGACCACCTCAAACTTACTCAAAAAACTGGAGAGACCATTCAAACTACTACTAGAGTCAGACGGCCACTTCAAACTTACACTACAAGACTGAGGACGCACCTCAAACTACTACTACAAGATGAGGACGACCACCTCAAACTTACTACTCAAGACTGAGAGACCGACACTTCAACTTACACTACAAGACTAGAGGACTGACACCTCAAACTTACTACTACAGACTGAGGGACTGACCACCTCAAACTTACTACTACAAGACTGAGGGACTGACCACCTCAAACTTACTACTACAAGACTGAGGGACCGACCACCTCAAACTTACTACTACAAGACTGAGAGACTGACCACTTCAAACTTACTACTACAAGACTGAAGGACTGACCACCTCAAACTTACTATTACAAGACTGAAGTACTGACTACCTCAAACACACACACACACACACACATTGAAGGACAGAAAGACTAGGCCCTCAGTCTTGATTCATCAAAGCTGGGGGACTGATCCTCTCAAACTATTTCAGTCTAATACAGATCAAAGTGTAGATGTCAAGATGTTAAAGCGATCAGTCCCTCGGTCTTGATTCATCAAGACTGAGGGACTGATCCCTGAAACTACGTCAGTTGAACACAGAGATTATCAACATACTGAAGACAATTGATGTGGGTTCAGAGGAGTTGAGTCACTCAGATTAGACAGCATGAGTAGGCCTATATGAGAGACCTACCTGGAGGCCTATGGTGTCAACAGGTAGGGCCAGACGTAGCCTGTAGAAGCCTAGGGAGGTAGAGAGGTGTAGAGTGTAGGCTGAACCTCGAGGTGTTAAAACTTGACGTAGTGAACCAGCATCGTCGTAGACTAGGCCGTAGGCTCGACCGCTCGGATGAGTTACTTTCTCAGGCTAGAAAACAGTAAGGTAGTAAGAAAAGATATATTTGTAGAGGTTAATGTAGTTTCAAGTCTATCTAGTACCCGAGGGTCATTAAAACTGGATGGTTAATGGGGTTTCAGGCCCATCTACTACACAAGGGTCATTAAGACTGGTTGGTTGGTTGATGGGGTTTCAAGTACACATATCTACAACACAAGGGTCCTTAAGACTGGTTGGTTGGTTAATGGGGTGACTGTGACAGTGAATATGGCAGATACAAACAACAGTGTATATACCAAGACACTGTTATTAACCCTTTCAGGGTCCATGCCGTAGATCTATGGCTTTACGTTGAGGGTCCAAACCGTAGATCTACGCCATGAGCTCAGCTCACTCTGATAAACTGTGAGCAGTAAATTTGGGCCTAGATATGAGAGAATACATCAATGTGGTATGTGTGCACCACATAAAACAAATCCTGCAGCACACAGTGCATGAGAGAAAAAACAGACTGTAATTCTCGATTAAAACAGCGACTTTGCAGTGTTTTTTTGTATGTTTTTTATAGTTGTATTTGCGATTTCTTGGTCTCATTTGATAGAATGGAAGATATATTACAGAAATAGAGATGATTTTGATTGTTTTTAGTACTGAAAATGGCTTGAAACTGAGCTCAAAGTAGCGGAAATGTTAAATTTTTGCCGATATTCAAGAGTAAACAAATGACCTCAAACGTCTAATACACGCCAGCTGGTGGGTCTAATATGTATTCACAAATGTGGTAATATTATTTATACAATTATTACAATATTGCAGAACAGTAAATCTTCTATTTTTTGGTTTGAATAAAAATTCATTATGTGAATAAAAAATCAAAATGGAATTCATTTGTAAAGTCTGAAAACATAACTAATGAACAGAGGAAATGTTAGTTTAGTGCCAGGAATGTCTGCATTGTTTATTCTGGACCCTATTTTGAAATTGGAATATTTTGAACTTTGCATTAAATTGGCAAAATTACCAATTTCGGATAATTTTATTTTGTAGTTGAAACAGTTGACTTGGCGATTTCTTGTGCTCAATCGATAGAATAGAAGTAATACTAGTGAAATAGCTAAGAATTTGGTTGACTGGAGTAATGTAACTGGCCTAAAATGGGAGTCAAAGTCGGCAAAATCGCCAATGTGTAAATATCGCTGACACATCAAAATTCGTGAGAGCATAATTTTGTCAATTTTCCATCAAATTTCGTACTTTTTGTTTTATTACCTTCAGAAAAAGATTCTCTACCATTTCATAAGAAAAAAATAACAAAATTATTTTTTAAAAATTCTTGGACACTGGTGTGCACTTCGAATTTTGGCCTCTGGACCCAGAAAGGTTAATACAAAAAAAGTCAATGTACACAGCCTCTCTTCACTTAATGATGGAGTTCCGTTGCTAAGACCACATCAGTTTGTGTCAACCATCTTTGATATTGTTTTAATGTCACTTTTGTACTAATTATAACATTTTTAGCATTTTTTAAATGTTTATACAGTAGTGTACTGTATATTGTAATAAACAGAAGAGAGGAAATCAGCTTTAATATACATTATTTAGGTATGTATACTGGTCAAAGAGCCCGTCGTAAGTCTGAGTCATCGGTAAATGAGTACATCGCTAAGTGAGGAGAGGCTGTATACCAAGACAATGTTGTTAATAAAAACAACTCAACGTATATACCAAGACACTGTTATTAAGTAATATTCACTCCCTAACTACTAACCTTAGTTAACTTCTCCCTATAATCGTAGTTTACAGTAGCTCCATCAGCATAAGTGACTGACGTTAATCTTAAGGAGCTATCATAGTGGTACTCTTCAGAGAGATTGCCTCGAGTCCAGCCAGTAATGTGTCCCCAGTGATCGTAACTTACGTTACTAGGTACCAGGGGAGACACGGGTATCCAGCGGACAGGTCGACCAACGGTATCGTAAGTAATGTTGATGAGCATTTGACCTGAGACGGATAGGAGGGCCTCTGAGGATGATACAGGATCATAGCTGAGAGTCAGTAGGTCAGCTCCATTCACACGTAGAGTAGCAGCAACCTGTGGTGTAAATATCAAGAGTGAAATTTACAATACCATGCCTGAGGCAGCTAAGAAACTATACGCAATAACACAGCTGGGACAATTTACATCTAACCCATAATTCTATGACTAGAACAATAAAAAAATGACCCACAATACAATGGCTGGAACAATTCACATCTGAATCATGCAATCATAGCTGGAACAACTCACACCTTAGCAATAATACCCTGCCTATAATAATTTACAAATGATAAACAACAATTAAATGGCTGCAGCAATTCACAACTAGCCCACAATACCATACCTGGAACAATTCACAACCCACAATACCGAAGCTGCAACAATTCACATCTAGCCTACAATACTGTGGCTAGAAAAGTTCACAAACCCACAATACTGTCTAAATACAGTGGACCCCCGGTTAACGAACTTTTTTCATTCCAGTAGTATGTTCAGGTGCCAGTACTGACCGAATTTTTTCCCATAAGGAATATTGTGAAGTAGATTAGTCCATTTCAGACCCCCAAACATACACGTACAAACGCACTTACATAAATACACTTACATAATTGGTCGCATTTGGAGGTGATCGTTAAGCGGGGGTCCACTGTAATTCCTAAATGACCTCTTATGTCAAGTGAAACTGGGTTCGGAATGAACAACTCAGAAATACCATGGTCAATTAGTAGCACACCCTCATGTGTATATAAACCATCATAGCCCTTAACAACAACAAGAGTGTGAGTCAATGGATGCCAGTGTATATATTGTAATGGGGGGTTCGATATGACGTATGGTCTTGGTGGCCCTATAAACCCACAAGAAATGTAAACACTGCGCACCAGAGATTGATCTTACCACAGCCCAGCCTGAGTACCACTGACGAGTGTCAGGTGGTTTTGTCACCACCTGCACCACCATCTACCTCACAGAGGGGGCATCACTACGGTACACCCATAAACCCAAAATAAGTGACAACGAACCAATGTTAATGAATAAAATATAATGGACAGAGATTCGAATCATGGTCCTGACAATTGTTCATATAAATATATATAGATATACCAAAAGGTATATTTATGTTGTTACCCTTATAACAACCCCTAAAATAATACGTAGTTAGCTTATGTGCTTTAGTCATATCTTATACAGCAGAACCCCGCCTTACGATAATCCGTTCCTGAGAGCTCATCGTAAGCCGAATTAATTTTCCCCATAAGAAATAATGGAAATCAAATTAATCCAGGCAAGATACCCAAAAGTATGAAAAAAAAAAAAAATTTTACCACATGAAATATTAATTTTAATACAAACTGAAGAAGACATGCACAATTACTACTCTACTAAGAATAGAATACATGCCACTTACCTTTATTGAAGATCTGGTGATGATTGATGGGATGGGAGGAGGGGAGAGTGTGGAAGTTGTTATTGTTTAGAAGGGGAATCCCCTTCCATTAGGACTTGAGGTAGCAAGTCCTTTTCTGGGGTTACTTCCCTTCTTCTTTTAATGCCACTAGGACCAGCTTGAGAGTCACTGGACCTCTGTCACACAACATATCTGTTCATAGAGCTCTGTACCTCCCATTCCTTTAAGACTTTCCTAAAATGGGCCATAACACTGTCATTGTACAGGTTGCCAACACAGCTTGCAGTAGCTGTGTCAGGGTGATTTTCATTCGTAAAGCTTTGCAGTTCAACCCACTTTTCACACATTTCCTTAATCTCTTTTTTCAATTCCATACTAATTCTCGCCCTTTTTACCATAGGGTTGGCACTAGAAGCTTTCTTGGGGTCCATGGTGACTTATTTTCCAGTTACAAGCACTAAAAACACTGGGATAATATGAAATGTACCGAATGTATGCATAGATGCGACAACACTGGCTGGCTTGTAAACACTGGCGCTGAGGCCACACGTGGGACGCGTCCCAGATGAATCACGTAAGGCAAGTTTTTTATTGTGAGGCGAGGCAAAATTTTTGTGTTAAAATGTATCGTATGGCGGATTTAATGTAATGCGATGCCATCGTAAGGCGGGGGTCCACTGTATTTCTATAAACTCAGATTAAGCATAATAAAAGCTTGTCAATGAATACACAGAAAAAATGGATGGGACCAAGGTTCGAGTCACCTGTCCATCTTATACAGTGGACCCCCGGTTAACGAACTTTTTTCATTCCAGTAGTATGTTCAGGTGCCAGTACTGACCGATTTTTTTCCCATAAGGAATATTGTGAAGTAGATTAGTCCATTTCAGACCCCCAAACATACACGTACAAACGCACTTACATAAATACACTTACATAATTGGTCGCATTCGGAGGTGATCGTTAAGCGGGGGTCCACTGTATTTCTATTTACATACCTTTATTGGAAAGCCTCAGTTAGATGACCAAAAGCTCCAGCTGTGGGTCAGCATGTGACTTGGACTCGTGTCAGGGAAACTTGTCCTGTTTACTGGTAAACATTACCTAAACTAACCTAACTTAACCTTAACCTAACCAAATCTGACCTGACGTAACCTAACCTAACATACCTTCATGCCGAGCCCACCACTATAGTGGTTAGCCGGAGAGTATATCCACTCGTAACGGTTCACCAGTTCCCCGGTGATGTGGGTCTGCTGGCGAGAGAGGATAGGGAACATCTCTGCTGCGATCTGACTGGTAGATTCCAAGACACGGTAGGATGTCCTTTCTAGGGAGACCTCATGACCCCAATCTGTTACCATCCTCAGTTGACCGTCACCTCCCATGTCTGCCACGGCCTCCACAGGACCTGTAATATGGAGGAATTAATCTGGGAACTGGTGGGAGTCAGACCAATGACAACTGAATGTTAAAACTCACAACCTACAGTGCTTAATTATGATTATTTTTATTACAATATCGTGAGTTGTGGAGAAATGTGTGAGGAATATCATTACGATATGAGATAGAGAACTAGTTCTTTCTTTCAACACACTGGCCGTATCCCACCGAGGCGGGGTGGCCCAAAAAGAAAAACAAAAGTTTCTCCTTTTACATTAGTAATATATACAGGAGAAAGGGTTACTAGCCCCTTGCTCCCGGCATTTTAGTCGCCTCTTACAACACTCATGGCTTATGGAGGAAGAATTCTGTTCCACTTCCCCATGGAGATAAGAGGAAATAAACAAGAACAAGAACTAGAAAGAAAATAGCAGAAAACCCAGAGGGGTGTGTATATAATGTGCTTGTACAGTATGTGTAGTGTGACCTAAGTGTAAGTAGAAGTTGCAAGACGTACCTGTAATCTTGCATATTTATGAGACAGACAAAAGACACCAGCAATCTTACCAACATGTAAAACAATTACAGGCTTTCGTTTTACACTCACTTGGCAGGACGGTAGTACCTCCCTGGGCGGTTGCTGTCTACCAACCTACTACCTTTGAAGAACTAGTTATTATTAAATAATAATAGTAAATGATAATAATGATAATTAGAAATATTTAGAGTTTTAGAAAGTCCCGTTGCTTGTGTTTTACTCGAGTTGAAAAATGAGACACTTGTTTAACATTTTGGAATCATTATTGTAGAAATGTTTTGCTAACCAGTGGTTTCTTCAGTCCAATACAGAGAAGAATGGTGGAAGATGAGGAGGAATTTGAGGTAATCGGTCCCTCAAGTTTGATCAAGATTGAACACATTGACTCCAGGCTGAGGGACTGATTACCTCAAGCTCCTCCTTATCTACCACTTTTCTTCACTGTAATGGACTGAAGAAGCCAATGGATGGCAAAATGTTTCCTCAATAAAGATTCCCAAACACTGCATGAGTCATATTCTTCAACCTGCGGGTTTTCTAAATCTTTACACCATTTACCTGAGTTATGGGTCAGTGTGTTCCCCCTGACTCTTGTTCTGACTGGATTCTTCCCATCTCGGGTGACCATGACCTCTGCTCCTCTGGTGCTCAGGTCAAAGGTCAGCTGAATGACCTGACCTGTAGGCAAGACTGCTTGCGTCAGGCGACCCTGTTCGTCGATAGTCGTAGTTATAGGAACGGCCTACGGCTTCGATCTTGGAGTGCATGAGGCCAGACGCACCGTGATAGCGGAAGGTAATATTGTACCCATCAGGAGCTACCAGTTGCTCCAGCATCTTCATCATTGATAAACTAATTTTCACTCGCTGTTTCTGGGGATTTTCAATCGCTGTCACATCCCCGAAGTAGTTACGAATGAGTTGAAATCTATTACTCGCTCCATCAGTAACAGTCAACAATCTCCCCTCACTGGAATTGATGCTGTAGGAGAACTTATAGATAGTCTGTCCTGTCACAAGGTTCCTGGTCTCTACATGTTGACCGTATTTGTTGAAGATGTAGACTTCGTGTGCATCGGGGGAGAAGATTTCGTATTGTTTATGTACATGGGTTCTGGGAGAACAGTTCTGACTGACCTTACTCGGTACCCAGCCTGGTCACTGATGTGGAGGACGCCATCTGGAGTGACAGCAATGGAGGAGATGGAGGAGAAGATAGCGGAGGACGCGGAGACGTTATCGTAAGTGTGGCAATAGCATGTCGGATCTCTGCAGTTGCAGCGGGAGTCTGCTCCAGCGAAGATGGATATGCGCCCATCGCTAGTTATTATGCGAACTCTGTTGATGCGCTGCGTGTCACTCTCCGCTACGTACAACTCTCCTGCGCAGACAATAACACAATATAACAAACATAACACAGGAACATAATTGAGTAGCAATGAGTAATCCTACTGATCCAAAAATATTAACATACCACAATGTTTGAAGACCTGCCTAGTATGGGCCAGTAGGCCTGCTACAATGTTCCTGAATTTTTATTACAGAAATGTTTTGCCCACCAGTGGCTTTATTAAATCATTACAGAGATGATATATGAAGACAGTGGTAGATAAGGCAATCAGTTCCTGAGTCTTGCAGCACAGAAGACAGTGATAAGATAAGATCTAAGATAAGATTTTGTTCAGATTTTTAACCCCTGAGGGTTAGCCACCCAGGAAAACCCAAAAAAAGTAGTGTCATCAAGGACTGTCTGTCTTATTTCCATTTGGGCCCTCAATCTTGTCTCTCAGGATGCAACTCACACCAGTTGACTAACACTCGGGTACCTATTTACTGCTAGGTGAACAGGACAACAGGTGTAAGGAAATGTGTTGAAATGTTTCTATCCCACCGGGAATCAAACCCGGGCCCTCCGTGTGTAAAGCGAGAGCTTTGCCAGCTAGGCCATGGGGTAATCAGTCCCTCACTCTTGCAGCACAGAAGACAATGGAAGATAAGGTAATCATTCCCTCAAAGAAGACACACTTATTGCACATGTTTAATTCAAAGACTACATATTATGTCTTACTAATATATGTCTGATAATTATATTACTGATAAACATATAGGCAGTAAGGAAGGTCCATAGATCAAATATTTCGTATCTCTAACCCTCAGTAGGCCTATTCGCCCATGTGAGGCAGATCTTTCTCATGGGCATTACCACCTAGTCATTTGTCAAAGAGGCTCATCTATCAATGAGGCCTATCTGTAAATGAGGCCTATCTATCAATGATGCCTTATCTATCAATGAGGCCTAATCTATCAATGAGTCCTTCTCTATCATGAGGCCTATCTATCAATGAGGCCTATCTATCAATGAGGTCTATCTATCAATGAAGCCTATCTATAAATGAGGCCTATCAATGAGGTGGATCTATTAATGAGGCCTACTTGTCAATGAGGCCTATCTGTCACTGAGGTCTATCTTTCAAAGAGGTCTACATAGCCAATGAAATCTACCTGTCACTTAGGCCTATCCATCAATTAGGCCTGCATGCTGTAATACAAAAAATATAAAAAGGAATATCCCAGAATTTTCAAAATGCATCAATTTTTTTGCTTTGACAAAAATGAGAAGTAGACGTAAACAAAGACATTCAATAAGGGAATGTTTCACCACGACTGGCTTTTATACAACTTAAAAAAAACACTTAAAGCAAAACGTTTTCTTAGTAGGAAAATAGTGGTGTGCCGACGGTATGGCTAGCAAAACACCGCAGAGGTGAAGTGGTGTAATGCTTTGCCACAATATTGATTCTATAACATCTACAATCTACCTTCAACTACTGCTTTGGGTAGATCACACCACTCACTAAATCTACTTCATCTACCTCTCAAGTAAAGTGACTGTGGGAAATGTGCTGTATAATCACGTCAAGTACAGTGGACCCCCGGTTTACGATATTATTTCATTCCAGAAGAATGTTCAGGTGCCATTACTGACCGAATTTGTTCCCATAAGGAATGTTGTGAATTAGATTAGTCCATTTCAGACCCCCAAACATACACATACAAACGCACTTACATAAATACACTTACATAATTAAATTTGGTCGCATTGGGAGCTGATCGTAAAGCGGGGGTCCACTGTACTGGCAACATTTTGCCCACACATCATGAACGTGGACAAGCAACATCAGTATATATATATACTGATGTAGCCAGTCCTTCAGTCTTGTAGTCATAGTTATGAGGTGGTCAGTCCCTCACTCTTGTAGTTATGAGGTGGTCAGTCCCTCAGTCTTGTAGTTATGAGGTGATCAGTCCCTCAGTCTTGTAGTTATGAGGTGGTCAGTCCCTCAGTCGTTTATGAGGTGGTCAGTCCCTCAATCTTGTAGTTATGAAGTGGTCAGTCCCTCAGTCTTGTAGTTATGAGGTGGTCAGTTCCTCAGTCTTGTAGTTATGAGGTGGTCAGTTCCTCATTCTTGTAACAGTTATGAGGCAGTCAGTTCCTATTCTTTGTAGTTATGAGGTGGTCAGTCCCTCAGTCTTATTGGGTAGTTCATAGTCTTGAGATGAGTGGTCAGTCCCACTCAGTTTGTAGGCAGCAGTATTTTAACTGTTTGAGTGTCGCCCAGTCTGTATATATATACGTCCCCTTGTAGGTACCGTTATTGATGTATATATACTCTTAAATTCTAGTGGACGTTAAATCACATAAATTACTGTGTGAGAGAAAGTGGTCCCCTGTGTGGGTCTGTGTGGGCATCCCATATAAAAAAATCCTGGAGCACGCAGTGCATAATGAGAAAAAAAAAACTCCGACCGTTTTTTTTAATTAAAATTCCGACTTTGTGGTCTATTTTCGTATAGTATTTATGGTTGTATTCTCGTTTTCTTGGTCTCATTTGATAGAATGGAAAACATATTATAGAAATAGAGGTGATTTTGAGTGATATTACTAAAAAAAGAACCTAAAAATGGAGCTCAAAGTAGGGGAAATGTTTGATTTTTGCCGATGTTCA